AGAGAGAAATATAACATGACTACCTGCATGGGGTAGAGATGGATAAATCCTCAGACCAATCAGATCAGATATGGTCAGCAGATGAATACAAGACCAGATCCTATGAATGAAAGATAAAGAAAATTCTACAATTTAAGACGTGGAATAAAATTTGTGTGTCCTGCTCTGGGAAGTGTTTTTGGAAGAAGATCACTCATATTTAAAAACAATTTTGAGGTGTTTTCACTGTGGCTCAACAGGCTAATCCTTTAACATCACTGACCAGCATCCCGTATGTGGGCTAGTCCCATCCAGCTCCCTGATTATAGCCTGGGAAAGCAAGAAAGGATGGTCTATGTCCCTGGAACCCTGCACCTCTGGGGTAGAATTGGAAAAAAAATCCTGGTGCCTGGCTTCCAATCAGCTCAGTTCTGGCAATCACAGCCATTTGGGGAGTGAAAGAGCAGATGAAAGATCTCGCTCTCTTTCTCTTTAAATATGGGCTTAAAAGGAGCTAATTTTACAAAACAAAAATAAAAACAATGCTGAACAATTTTCTATTTGAGGAACAGAAAGGAAGGTCTTGGTGGTTATAAATTCATTGGATGTTTTGTGTTACTAACAGTACTAGTAATGGACTGGGATAGGTCATTGGTTAGATGATTGACCCGTTAAGGAGGAAGCACTGAACTTATAATGTTTTGTTTTTCTTTGGTTCATGCAGCTCCTGGCCTAATAACTTCCTCATTGAGATATCATCATGGAATTTGATGGTCACTTAGCAGTTAGCATTATGGCATCTCCAAACTCTAGCAACACCCTGTCCTCCACATTCTATCTCACAGGTATCCCTGGCTATGAGGAATTTCACCACTGGATTTCCATCCCATTCTGCCTCCTCTACCTGGTTGGAATTATGGGTAATTGTACCATCTTGCATATTGTTAGGATAGACACCAAACTCCATGAGCCTATGTACTACTTCCTAGCAATGCTTTCCCTTACTGACATGGGCATGTCCCTGCCTGCAATGATAACACTATTTCGAGTGTTGTGGTCCATTTCCAGAGAGATCCAGTTCAGTGCCTGTGTGTTCCAAATGTTTCTAATTCACACTTTCTCCTTCACTGAATCATCTGTGCTCTTGGCCATGGCCCTTGACCGGTATGTGGCTATCTGCCATCCTCTGCGATATGCCACCATTCTCACTCCAAAACTTATCATGAAGATCGGAATTGCAGCATTGCTCAGGAGTGCTATTCCACTAGTTCCACTTCTAGTTCGCTTGACCTTCTTTTCCTTTTGCCGCTCTCATGTCCTTTCTCATTCCTACTGTCTACACCAGGATATTATCCACCTTGCTTGTGCTGACATTAAGTTTAATGTTATATATGGGATGGTTGTGATCACTATGCTGTGGGGTTTGGACTCTCTGGGTATTTTTGTGTCTTATGTTTTTATCCTTCACTCGGTGTTAAGAATTGCATCTCGCGAGGGAAGGCTCAAGGCCCTCAACACATGTGCATCCCACATCTCTGCTGTTTTAATTTTATATGTGCCTATGATAGGAGTATCTATTGTCCATCGTTTTGCCAAACATTCTTCCCCCTTTGTCCATATCTTCATGGCTCATATCTACTTGCTGATTCCTCCTGTGCTCAATCCAATCATTTACAGCGTGAAGACCAAGCAGATCCGCCAAGGAGTCTGCCACCTATTTTCTCCCCGCAAAATCAGTTCTTCGACGATGTAGGCATTTCCTTAAAACAATTACGACATCAGCACTAATAATGGAAGTATTATTATGCTCAGTGAAATAAACCAGTTCCCAATAGACACATATCATATTTCCTTTGATGTCTGATAATTATTGTAGAATACAAAAAAAAGTGTAGGAACAAAACTTGCATGATTATTGATTGCAGGCCTTGCCCCTATTACTGTGGAACAGTAACCCATCTGCTATTGACTTGTTGAACATAATGGCTAGTGATGCATTAAGTATGTGATTCAAAGCGAATTGAAATTATACTATTATAAAAATTTAAGGAAAAGAAAAGGAAGGAAGGAAGATAGATTGAAGGATGGAATGAAGGCATAGTATGGTTATCTTAGAACTGTGCATATAAAATATTTGGTCTGTTTTTATTTTTAAAAGTTTTTAAAAATTTAAAAATTAGAGCAAGCATTGTGTAATGCATCACCACCTACCATACCAGCAACCAATTTTAGTGCTGGCTCATGTCTTGACTGCTTCACCTTTAATCCAGCCCCATGCTGATGTGTCTGGGAAAGCTGTGAAGGATCTTGTAAGTAATTGAGTCCTATGGCTGCAAGTGAGAGACCAGATGAAATGCCTGGAGCCTGGTTTCATCCTGGTACATCTCTGGCTGTTGTGGACATTTGGAGAATGAATCAGTGAATGGATGGTATCTCTCTTCCTCTCTCCCCCTCTCTCTCTCCTTTTCCAAGACATTTTAAAAATAATTTTAAAAATTTAAAAATTTAAAAATACATGCTGATTTGTATACTCCAGGTATTGTACTAGATTGTCGACAAAATATTTCTTAAAGAACAAAAATAGAAGGAACAGACATTTCAATGTAGCTTTGAAGGAGAGTCATGTCGTCAGCAGGACTGTGTGACCTAACTTAGCATGTGATTATATGTCAGCCTGATCAGACATATTGTCTTGCTGTCCATTCTTTGTGTCTATTGTTCCCCATTCTCTCCTAGGTTGGCTGCAACCCCCGTTGACTGTCCTGCTGGACGGGACATTTATAAACCTCTGTAACTGTGAACATGTTGGAAAGGAGTGTGCTGGAAATCATTTATTTGTCTCTCTCTTCCTGTAAGAGCTATTTCTAATTGAAGTTGCATACTCTTGTAGTTTTGTTGAAGATACAAGTCCCTTATTTCTTTGCTTCTTTTTATTCCATACTATTTCTTAATGAATCAATGCTACATTCATGTTAGAATTGCATGTGTGAATCAACTCATTTATCTTTCCTATAAATGATTAAATCCAACCATTTTTGAGTTATGGCTTAAAGAAGCAATTCGCTTGCGTGTTGCATCAGCATCATTCCTTCAACATTTGTACAAATGCTCTGTCCTGTTTCAACTCCCATCATGAGGCAAACATATTATAATCATTTGCATAATGACAGATGTTATTGATTGTGTACAGATCAACTTTATGCTACAAAAGTGCTTTTGTGGTCAAACACAATGTCAGGAAAAAAATTAATATAGACTTCTATTGTCTTCACATTTAAGTGTCTAACTTTTTTTTAATACAAAGCATTATTAGAATGCCACTTCATTAACCCATTTAGCTACTTGGTTCTTCAATCTAATACCTAAATCATGAGCTATTTTTGGAATTCCTATGAGGATGGGCATTTTTATAGCAGTTAAGATACTGCTTTGAGGTGGAGCAGCCCACACTGGAGTGTTTAGCTTCAATTCCCAGCTTTGCTGTTGATTCTACTTTGCTATTACTGTGTCTATGTGGAGGCAGCCACACATGGCTCCAGCACTATAGTCCTGGCCAGCTATTTGAGAGACCCAGATGACACTCTGGGCCCCTGTTGTCAGCATGGCATAACCCTGACTGTCATGGGCATTTAGGGAGTGAATCAGCAGATGCAAGATCTCTCTTTTTCTGTCTCTCTCTGCCTTTCAAATAATTGTGGAAAATGAACACTATGAATATGAGCTTTATTATACACAGAATCTGTAAACAGCTACATGCAGTTATAAAGAGTGATAATACATATTTTTTCAAGTAGGTCAATCTACTTATCCACTTAATTATCACACTGCATTATATTTGAATCATGCTTGTGACAGACTTTGTTGTCTGTATGACAAGAAAATATTTTAATTATTTTATTAGCTAGGAGATGAACATTGTCTGGTGTATAAAAAGGATTATAGTTGTAGAAATTATGGTGAGTTCATAAATGATAAAATACCACCTAGGAATGTAATATGCACATTACAAGATTGTTGTAGGAAGGGCTAAGCTTAGATCATTTCACATGCTAATATAGTAAATTTAAATAAGGGGTGGATTTTTGCTAGCAGCTAAAATGTGTGGATTCTGTCTCTTAGCAGCTGTGTAAGGCACCTGGCTCTGCCTCTGGACTCCTATTTCCTGCAAATGCAGATCCTGTAAGGCAGTGGTGATGACCATGAGTTTCTGGCGTGGGTCCTGTTTAGTTCAGACCATTGCATCATGTGGGAAGAAAAGAAGCAGACGGGAGGCCTTTTTCTCTTTTTACCTATATTACTCTCTGTTTCTGGGTCTCTCAAGTAACTAACTAAATAAAAATGGAGTCAGGCAAGATAGCCTATTGTATAAATCCTCACCTTGCAAGTACTGGGATCCCTGGGTGCCAGTTCATATCCCTGCTGCTCTGCTTTCCATCCATCTCCTTGCTTTTTTGCCTGGGAAAGCAATAGCACACAGCCCAAAGTCTTGGGACCTGCACCCCTCTGGGAGACCTGGAAGAAGCTCCTGACTACTGGCAACAGATCAGCTCAGCTCTGGCCATTGTGGCCCGTTGGGGAGTGAACCAGTGGACAGAAGATCTTTCTGTCTCTCCTCTCTGTAAATCTGCCTTTACAATGCAAATAAAATAAACCTTTTTTTTTATATAAAATATTGAGTCAAATGGATTCAGGAAACATAATCCTGACCATAGCCCATGATTTCTTCTTCTTGAGAACTGCCTTGAAATAGTCTGTCTTTGTTAAATCAGAGCAGGAAGGAAGCTATCAACTTATTTGGGTCTTCTAATCGGACTCAACTGGAGACAATTACATTCACTGCACCAGAAACAGTGTCTGAGACAAATTGAAGGCACTGACTCCAACAGAGAAGTGCTTGCATTCTGGTTGTTGAGGTGCTACAGCAAACTAGTTTGTATCCCTCCTGAGTGGCAATTAATCATCTTACATTCTCAGACATTATGACAAAGTGTTTCCTTGAAATATCCTGCTTTCTTGTTCATTCAATCTGAATATTTGTAGTATGCAGTCATGGGAATCTAAAAAGAATGAACACTAGAGTTTTTTTTTTTTTCAAAATTACTTAGTACTTTAAGGAGAAAGAAATTCAAGTCTATAATCTATCAGTTTTATGTATGAGGAGTATGAGGACACATCATGAAATTTATTATATAAAATCACTGACAATTAGCATTTGTTTGATTAAAAACTTATCTATTCAGGTAATGTTTATCAGATTACTTGTGTATTCTGGTTCCTGGGGTTTTAATGATGATGCACAGAATTAATCCCTGACCTCATTCTTCTCCACTGAAAATTGGAATAGAGCAGGAGATAGCTAGTATCAAAAGTATATTTAAATTTTAAACTCTGTTATTCTGTCATCCCACTGAATATACAATTCAGTTTCCTGCAAGCTGCACATTAGGAAGATAGCATTAGAAACAAATATTTTTAAAGTTTGTTTCAAAGCTTTTGTATTGTGGGTGTAGATGTACCCTAGACTTGATATTAAATTTTTTTTTCATGCATTCTACACATCTCTGTTTCTTTGTATATGATTTCAGTTGGCTACAGATCCCTAGCACATGAATTCTTATCTCCTTGGTCTTTATCCCATAGACAATGGGGTTCATGGTAGGTGGAATCAGTAAGTAGAGGTTTGCCAAGAGGATAAGTGTGTGCCGGGGTACATGATGCCCAAATCTATGGGTAAAGAAGGAAAAGAAGGCCAGAGTGTAGAATATCAAGATGACACATAAGTGAGCTCCACAGGTTCCGAAGGCCTTTTTCCGTGTTTGCCTGGAAGGCAGTTGGAAGACTGTTCTCAGGATCAGCCAGTAAGACAGGGAGATGAAGACAAAGTCCAGTCCTGTGGTGAGGAGAGCAGCAGTGAGGCCGTAAATGCTGTTGAGGGCAATGTTATTGCAGGCCAACTTTGCGATGCCCATGTGCTCAGAGTAAGTGTGGTGGACGATGTTGCTCCTGCAGAAGTGTAGTCTCAGAATGAGGAAGACACCAGGGGTGACTACAGTCACACTCCGAGCCACCAGAGCCAGGCCCACCTTGCCTATGAGAGAGCCTGTAAGTAAGGTAATATAATGAAGAGGTATGCAGATAGCCACATAGTGATCAAAAGCCATGGCCAGTAGAACAGCAGATTCAGAGAGAAACAAAGCATGGCCAAAAAACATCTGGGCGAGGCAAGCAGGAAACATTACCAAGGAAGGGCCCTGCCAGAAGATGAGGAGCATTTGGGGCACTGTAACGGTACAAAGCAGGACATCATTGAGTGCCAGCATGGCCAGGAAGAGGTACATGGGTTCATGGAGGCTCCTGTCCCAGGCCACCACTGTCATGACCAGGCCATTGCCTATCACAGCCAAGAGGTACATGAAGCTGAAAGGGATGGAGATCCAAATCTGGAAGTCTTCCAAACCCGGGACACCAGTCAGCAGAAAGGCAGTGAACCGCATAGCTGTATTGTTGGATTCCTCTACAGAGAGACCACTAGATTCTACTCCATAAAAAAATAAAAAAGATACATTGAATCAACAATAACAGAAAAAATGACTATGTATTCTTTTTCCTTTGTCAAGCCCTAAGCATTGCTTTTGTCATAATGAAAAGGAAGGAATAAGAACATGAAAAAGTGGTTTCAGATAAGATGCATAATAATAAAATGCTGTAGACATACCCGTTTTCTTTTATGGACAGCTTGTTTTCCTTGAAAAAAAGAAAGTGCTTCAGAAGACTTAAAATTGGATCTCTTTTCCCTATAATGACAAGGGCTTTGATCATATAATTTAGGTCTGTATCTTGTACTTTCGCTTCACCTATATAATATTTTTCCTTTATAAATTGGTAATAAACTGTTAATATAAAAAATCTCTTATTTTTTTTCCATAAAAGTGAATGAAAGACTGGAGAAAGTATTCTGCTTGTTTGTGCAATACAAGGGGAGAGAGATGGCTGTCACTTTGACACATAATCAGAAATATCATGAACTTGGCAATCATGTTTTTGCTATCTAAAGGTTATAAAATATGTTCCCTTAGTCAGATTATCTCCCACAAAAAAATCAAAACTGCTCATCTGGTTCTTCTATAAACTCTTGATGATGGTGATTAAATTATGGAATTTAATGTACTCTCCAAAATATAACATTTTTTATGCTCTGAAAGCACTAAATCTCAAGGATTGTGGCATGGGGTCAGATGAGACAAATGACAATTGAGTACAGTGTGCATCCATTTAGAATTTAAAAAGTTACTGACAATTGCAATGTCTTAGTAATTATTTAATATCTAACAGTGCTGTCCACAGAGTACAGTCGCTATCGTTTGTACATCAACCAACAAGAGCAACTCACAGCAGCTTTTTAAATCATAATGGGGGTTCTAACTTTTAGTATATCAACTGACACTGCAGAGAAAAGTTCTTCTCTGAAAAACGCCCCAAATACCAGATTATTATTCAGAGCTACAAATATGTAACTAGGAGTTATAACTTTAAAAAAATAATACTTTCACTAAAGAAATAGTGTGCACTTATGAATGAATACTTTGCAGTTATAACTCTTAGGAAGTTTCAGAATTATGGATAATAAACCTAATACATTCTAAAAAGTACTTCCATAGTCTGGAATTTGCACAGGCTCCAAATTTCATGTGAGACTTTACACCACAAAATAGAAAATTACTGTATTTCAAGATAGCTATAATACATCAATTAACATTCATTGCAACCTTGCTTTTCACATTATCCTGACTTCTAACAGGCAAAGTGAACACATCACCACATAATGAGCACATATTTATCCCATTTTCTTTTACCTCTGGCCCTTTCTCATTCCCCTCTCCTCTCCTCTTCCTTCCATTTAAGGACAAAATATAGAGTTTCTGATTACATATAATTGATAGAGTGTTTTAATTACAGTTCCAAAAGGGAGGTATATTTAAGTGATTATTTGGTGTAAAATATGGATTATAGCTCTAGTTTTATTAGGCTCTTTAAAGTGGAACTGTTTGATTCCTCTACTTATCTCACAGTATGGCATGTCTTTTCTGAATCACCCTAACATAGAAAACATTTGTGTATTTAATTTTAACATATTTAAATGGAAATCATATCAATACAAAAACTGACAACATAGCAGTGATAGTAAATGATTAGAAATATTTGTTGGTACTTAACAATATACTATAGTTTTTTCCCAAATCTCTTCTAAGCTCTTTACCTGTAACACCCAATTTAAGCACGAGTACAATATGAAATAGTTGCTGTCATTATCATTTATGCAGCGAGAAACTGGGCACTGAAAGAAAGACCTTCAGGGTGGCATTGAAACATGTCTTCTAATCCAAGAATGGACTTGCAAAATCCACAGTTTTAACCACAACACTCTTGTAATTTACCTTTTAGATTCATAGTTTTTCTTTTTTTTTTTTCTTTTTTTTTTTTTTTAGCAATTCACTTTTTTTTTTTTTTAATTGTTGCTTACATTGTATTATGTAGTACAGTTTTATAGGCGCTGGGGATTCCCCCCACCCCTCCATACCCCTCCCCCCATGGTGGATTCCTCCACCTTGTTGCATAACCATAGTTCAAGTTCAGTTGAGATTCATTGCTTGCAAACACATGCCTAGCATAAAGTTCAGCGTCTTATTGTCCAGATAAGTTCAGTGGCCTCTTGGGGAGACCTTCTATGGTCTGAGGATAGGTCTAACAGAGTAAAGATCCGGTCAGTTAAAAGGCCCAACAAGGCCTCAGTATCATTATACAACATTATGGAATTAATTGACATAGTATTGGGTAAACAATATGTTAAAAATAATGCAAGTTCCATTCTTCGAAACATCTGGGTTGAGACAGTATCAATGACAGGTTCAAAAAATAACAAACGACCAAACAAAAAATTACAGGTTAAATCAAGGCAAACATGTGGTATCTAATCTTTTGGGATTCGCTCATTTCCCTTAGCATTATAGTTTCCAGTTGTGCCCATTTAGCCACAAAGAACTGCATTTTGTTTTTTTTAATAGCTGAGTAGTATTCCATGGAGTAGATGAACCAAAGCTTTCTTATCCAATCTTCTGCTGATGGGCATTTTGGTTGCTTCCATGTTTTTGCAATTACTGATTGTGCTGCAATGAACATAGGGGTGCATGTTGGTTTGTCGTAAAACAGGTGTTTTGGATATATTCCTAGGAGTGCAATTGCTGGGTCATATGGTATGCAGATTTTGAGTTGTTTGAGTGTTCTCCAGACTGATTTCCATAAAGGCTGTACCAATTTGCATTATCACAAACTTAATATGTCAGTAACCATAAAGTTCAACAAGGAGTTTAGACGAAGGCTGAATCAACAATCAAATCGCAAGATGTCAGATTTTTTAAAAAGGTTTTATTTACTGTTATTGGAAACACAAATTTACGGAGAAAAGGAGAGACAGAGAGAAAGATCTTCCACCTTCTGATTCACTCTCCAAATAGCTGCAACAGCCAGAGCCCATCAGAGCTGAAACAGGAATTAAGAACTTCTAGTTCTTCCACACAGGTGCAGGTTCTCAAGGACTTGGGTCATTCTCTACTGCTTTCCCAGGCCAACAGCAGGGAGCTGGATGGGAAGTGGAGCATCCAGGATATGAACCAGCACCCATATGGAATCCTAGAACATGCCACCAAGCCATCCCACTGGACCCCACACTTCTTTGCATTCTGTATTAACTACCCCTTATCAAAGAAAGTATATGGTATTCAACATTTTGGAACTGGCTTATTTCATTAAGTATAATCATCTCCATTTACATCTATTCTGTTGCAAAACAAGATTTCATTCTTTTTTATGATTGAGTAAGATAGCCAAAGTTACACAGAGGGATAGGCAGACTGAAAAGGATCTTCAATCAGCTGGTTCACTTCCCAAATGACCACAAAGGCCAGGGCTGGATCAAGCTGAAGCCAGGAACCAGTAGCTTCATCCAGGTCTCACATGTAGGTGGCAAGGGCTCAAGTACATGGGCCAAGTTCCTGCTAGTTTTCTCAGGCCATTTGTAGGGAACAGAATTAAAAGTGAAGCAGTTTGGACATGAACCGATGTCCATATGAGATACCAGCAATGCAGGTGCCAGTTTCACATATGGTATCATAATCCCAGCTTCCCCATTTTGAGGCTTTGACAAATCTAGAGAGTTCTGCATCCTCCATTTCACACACAATAGTTTCACTGTGCTAGTATTCCCTAGTGCTGCAGTTGGTCCTTGAACAATCACCACTGTTCCCTCTGCTCTATTGTGACTGTCTCACAAGTATTCTGTCTACGCATCCGTCTCCATTGCTGCACTTTCCCAAATTCTCAGTGCTTTCATATGGTCATTTTCCTCTTAACAGCATTCATTTAATTCTCTTCCATGCTTTTCTGTGAGTTAGTAGTTTATTCATTTTAATTTTTGAATGATATCCAGTTGTACCTATAAATCTGAGTATTGGCAAGAATAATAAAAAATTCAACAAATGCTCATTTGCAGGTTTGAAATTAGGTAGAATAATTTCAATTTATTTGAACATCACAACGGAGCGTAATTTCTGGATTGCATATTAAGAGTGGGTTTAATTTAAAGAGAAGATTTCAAACTGTCTTCCAAGGTAGTTATTCCACTTTACTTCTTATCAGTAATAGAGCATATGAGAGCTCCTGTTTCTCAAATTCCTTGCTAGTATTTAGGGTTGACAATGTTGTAGAGTTAAACCATCCTAATACAGAAATGCATCATTATTTTAAAATATAATCCCTGATAATTCTTTAACAATTTCTCTCTATGGGAGCCGGTATTGTAGCCTAGCAGGAAAGCTGCTACCTGTGAAATCATCTTCCAGTATGGGCCCTGATTTGTGTCCTGGCTGCTCCACTTCCTAGCCATCTCTGCTAATGGCCTGAAAAAGACAGCTGACCCAAGTGTGTATTCTAGATTAAACTCCTTACATCGATGTGTCCTAGCCCTGGCTGTTGGCTGCTGTTTGGGAAGTGAATCACCAGATGCAAGGTTGGATTCTCTTTCTCTCTTTCTGTTCATAGTGACAGATATAAAAAGAAGCGGTATAAGAAGGAGACCATAAGCTTTATGTATATCTCTATATCTGTATAGCTCTGTATATCTGACTTTCCAGTAAAAAGAAATAAATTTTTTTTTTAAAAAAAAAAGGTCAAATAGTTGTGAGAAAACTGTCAGAGGAAAAATAAATGTAAGTAAAATATGATATTTCACTTCTGTAATTGTTAATTTATTAAAGATCAACAATCTGAATATCAATAAGGGAATAGTTATGCTAGGTGTGGATAGCTAGTGAATAAATGAGTCTAATGTCCTTGATTTCAACGCCAGGGTACTTCTTATTTGCTTGCTTTGTCTGTGAAATGCTTCCTCCAAATACTCAAGTAAGTGAAATTATGTAACATTTTATCTTCTCTGGCTTAT